AATAAATAAAGTCAAGTTTACTTTAAGTGAAAGCACAATAAATATTCAATAATAGGAAACAGAACCAAGGTTACTGAATAAAAACTATTTCATACCAGATAACAAAACAGAATCACTCAAAGAAAAGCTCGCCTTAAACGATTTATAGCAAAACCCTCTTCTGTTGTATGAAGGCTTTTACATGCTATTTGGTTCTCCAGGTGATTCCTACCAACGTATGTATAATCTTTCTGTGTTATTTTGAAGGAAACTATTCAACAACAACAAAAAACATTGTCCAATTTATCTATTACTCTTTAAAGTTCATTTGCACAAAAACTCTTTTGCCAAATTGGCCAAAATTTTATCTATAGTCTATATTTTGCTATTTTTATAGGAAAACGTTAATACCTACCTTCTTGTAACACACCTTACTAAATAGAATTAATGAGCATTCACCAGGAGTTTCAAACTGAAGTATACATGAGAATGAACTGCACTAAGTAAAATTCTTACAAAAACTCTTCAATTCACAGGTCCAGTGGTTTAAATATTTGCATACGAATTTGACACTTGTCACTCTGACATAAGCACCATAAATACGTAGAAATGCTGAACAACGGACAAAATTAAGAAGTTGCTTTTGCTCATACTTCCACAGTCCCCTCTATTACATCTTCTTTTCTTTCTTTTTTTTTTTCTTTTTAAAGATGACCAGTAAGGGGATCTTAATCCTTCACTTGGTGTTGTCAGCACCACACTCTCCCAAGTGAGCCACAGGCCGGCCCTACATCTTCTTTTCAAAAGTCTCCCTGACCCTATACCACTCATGGAGAAATCCTCTGGTTAAATGAAACGGTGCTAAAGTTGAACGAGCTGATGGATATGAACCACCAGTCCAAGAATCTGTTTGAAATTCAGATTTTTTTAATAGTGACAAATAAAAAAATCCCATTTAAAAAAGAATAAATAAATAAAGTCAAGTTTACTTTAAGTGAAAGCACAATAAATATTCAATAATAGGAAACAGAACCAAGGTTACTGAATAAAAACTATTTCATACCAGATAACAAAACAGAATCACTCAAAGAAAAGCTCGCCTTAAACGATTTATAGCAAAACCCTCTTCTGTTGTATGAAGGCTTTTACATGCTATTTGGTTCTCCAGGTGATTCCTACCAACGTATGTATAATCTTTCTGTGTTATTTTGAAGGAAACTATTCAACAACAACAAAAAACATTGTCCAATTTATCTATTAGTCTTTAAAGTTCATTTGCACAAAAACTCTTTTGCCAAATTGGCCAAGATTTTATCTATAGTCTATATGCTGCTATTTTTATAGGAAAACGTTAATAGTTACCTTCTTGTAACACACCTTACTAAATAGAATTAATGAGCATTCACCAGGAGTTTCAAACTGAAGTATACATGAGAATGAACTGCACTAAGTAAAATTCTTACAAAAACTCTTCAATTCACAGGTCCAGTGGTTTAAATATTTGCATACGAATTTGACACTTGTCACTCTGACATAAGCACCATAAATACGTAGAAATGCTGCACAGCGGACAAAATTAAGAAGTTGCTTTTGCTCATACTTCCACAGTCCCCTCTATTACATCTTCTTTTCTTTCTTTTTTTTTTTTTAAAGATAACCAGTAAGGGGATCTTAATCCTTCACTTAGTGTTGTCAGCACCACTCTCTCCCAAGTGAGCCACAGGCCGGCCCTACATCTTCTTTTCAAAAATCTCCCTGACCCTATTCCACTCATGGAGAAATCCTCTGGTTAAATGAAACTCTAGAAGATCATTAAAAGAAAACTTCCATTTGTCAGACCATTTGTAGCTTTTAGCCTCTTGTTGGACTGTTTAAAAAAACAGTGCTGGAGGTGATTCTAGTTCAAGTTGGGCCTCACCTGAGGCGACAAAGTGAGAAGAGTCGAGCATCTGTCAAACTGTGCAAGTTATAAGTTCACTCAGGGAACCCTACAACCAGAACCCGAGAACTACACGAACGCAGGCACACCTGGGGTAGTGTGGAAGTGGGAGTGAGGGCAAGTCTTCATTTTTATTTAAAAAGCTGCATGTGACTATCCTGTTCCCAGATAATTCAGGATTTTCTCTGAATCGTAAAACATCTCTCTGCAGAAGGACCTTGGGTTCCCCAAACAGCTCAAGAAGACAAACGGTTGCTCCCAGTGATTGCCCTGAAATTTCAAAGCTCCTTCCAGCCTGGCTCCACTGTGCCCCGAGCTACTTACACTGGTCCTTGGCCTTCTGTCGACTTTCAGGTTTTCTTTTAACCCAAGTTAATTTCAAGTGCACTAGAATCAGAAAAGCAAACTGTCACTCAACGCCCCTCACCCCCGTTGATGGTAGCTGGATAGAAATGTCACCACTTCAGTGACATGGCTCTGGCAGAGTGTCTAGCAAGATTGCGTATATTGTTTTAATTAGGCACTACTATACAAAAAGTCTTTTTGTTTTTCTTTTTAAAGCAGGGCACTAATAGAAAAAGTAATTTGTCAAGGAGCATAATTATCTTTTGATTAACTACATATTGTTGCATTTGAAGAAAAATGGTTCAATAATTATGTCTCTAGGCATTTCTAATCTGTATTTTTATAAAGCATGGTTGTTATTTTTTTTTTCCAACAGCAAGGAGATCATACTGCAGAGAAGGAAGGTTTAAAAAAAGAAAAGAAAAAGGTGAGCACATTTATTTTTAACTTGTTATAAACCAAAAGCATTTGAAGCATCATAAACTTGTCTATTAGAAAGCAAAAAGGTTTTATGTGCCTCCTGACATGCTTTGAGTTTCTCTAGAATTGTGTTCCTCCCATAACTGAGAGAAAACAGCATGTACAAAGTTTAATAACTATTTATTTGCTATAACTAGTGAGTGCTGTCCATCCTCTCAGCAAGGACAACTGATTGGAATAGAAGCTCAAATGCTGTCCCATGATGTGACTCAATAGTGAGTGCTGTCCATCCTCTCAGCAAGGACAACTGATTGGAATAGAAGCTCAAATGCTGTCACATGGTGTGAATCAACTCAGGTTCTTTTCTCTGTGCAATATGGAAATCATTACACAGACTTGTGTGAATACACTGTGAGATCACAAGGCCTCACTGGAAGACCAGTGGGATGGGAGCGGTTAGAATCCTAAATTGTCCTTTCTTATATGTGACTAGATGGATGAGCCACTCGACAATGAAGAGCCTCTATTTCTTTCTCAGTAAAATGAAGAGGTGGAACAAAATTTATCTTCACCCCACAATTATTCAATTGCTGGCAAGGTGTGACAATCGTGAGGTATAATGTATTAAGAGGTCAAGAATACACTATCCCTTCTTCAGTCAGTTCTCATTCTTCTAGTTCACCTTTTCTAGCTCAATAATTCTCTGGTGTTTTGTGATAGTCAGCTTCTCAGTTGGTCCCCAAGCATTACTGCCTCTTGAAATAAAGGATTGTGCTTCTCACTCTGTCTCTCTCTGTCTCTGTCTGTCTGTATCTCTCTCCCTCCCTCACTCCCTCTGCCATTTTATGGAAAGACCTATGCAATAAGATGCCAAAGCCTCTGACTAATATCCAGTGAGCAAATGAGGTATGCCAGCAAATGCAGGAGTGCACTTAGGAGGCAATTCTCCAGTCCCAGGCAAGCCTTGAGATGACAACAGCTCAAACGCAATCTCTTAAGAGATTCTCACTCAGAACCACCCAGCTAACCCAATCCCAGATTTCTGATCCTCAGAAACCATGTGAGATAATAAATGTTTTTGGCTTTAACTTTTGGGGTAATTTATTATAAGCTATAGATACAGTGGACTCACTTTTGAATTCTATAGTCCAGTTGAAAGAGCAATAGTGAGGATAGCCAAAGAGCTGGGTTCTCCTCTCTGTAATGATGTTTGGCAGGTAATTTAAATTTTTTAAATAAATTTTATAATCCATAACATGGGGACTTACATCTTTAAGTGGAATTCTTATGGGAAATTGGTTCCTAACTGATTAAAAACAAAGTGAGATGGTTGTAATTAATGTAGAAGAGAAGTTATTCTTTTAAAAAACTTGAGAAAATGGACTGGTGCAAAAGAGACTAAAAGTGTGGCAAAACTAGAGGTGAGTATGGAAGAGGAGGTGGTACAGTGGTGTGCTAGAGTGGAGAGGATTCTTAAAGCAAATGTACTTCACATGGCCTCGTTCTCCAAAGCCTTGCAGTTTCACATATTGAGTTTGCAAAGGACAGGAAATTTTCCTCAGGCTATAAAGTCTCTGGTGTAAGATAAAGATTTGTAACACAGCATATTGAGTTTGCAAAGGACAGGGAATTTTCCTCAGGCTATAAAGTCTCTGGTGTAAGATAAAGATTTGTAACACAGCATATTGAGTTTGCAAAGGACAGGGAATTTTCCTCAGGCTATAAAGTCTCTGGTGTAAGATAAAGATTTGTAACACAGCAAGGTTGCTGACTCAAGAACAGACTAGTTACTGATTGATATGTAAAGATACTGAGAAATTGCTGTAAGAAGGAATGTTTCCTAAGATCAAATTTTTGACGACTTAATTACCTTACTGGAATGTCATCTGACTTGTTTCACTGAGAGTTACCAGCCTATATTGTTAAATTATAACCCTACCTATGTTCTCTTCCTGTAAGTTTCTGGTCTGAAAATAAATGCAGGAAGACAACCCCAATTTGGGGTTAATTTCCCAAGGAAGAAATGCCTCTCCCTTGAGGGTTCCAGGGGAGATTAACCACTTCAGGGCTTCTCACTGCTCAGAAGAGATGGGCTCTGAGTAATCCTTTGCATCTCTGTCACCCAGGGGAAGAGGGGTGACAAGTCCGTGGGGGACAAAGCAACAAAATGGAAGCAACACTAGAGCTAGTGTGTACAGCTCACAGAAGATGATTGTTAAATGCTCAGGAATTTCAAGAGCTGGTAGTTAAAAACAGTTATAAAAATTACATTATGTATACTTATGATTGAGTAAATATATTTAAAACAAAGAAAAAATTTTTCAAACCTCTTCTTTCCTAAATATTTTATTAAATTTTACTGTTATCATGCTTTTGTAGTTACTTATATCTATTTTATCTGTCTGGTTGTTTTAGTCCATTTTGCATTGCTATAACATAAATACCTGAAACTGGGTAATTTATAAGGAAAAGAGGTTTATTTGGCTTATGATTCTGGGACAGCTGCATCTGGCTTGGACCTCAGGCTGCTTCTACTCATGGCAGAAAGTGGCAGGTGGGGAGGGTATAAGCAGATCACATGGTGAGAGGAAGCAAGAGAGAGAGAAGGTGCCACGGTCTTTTTAAGCAACAAGTTCTTGTGGGAACTAATAGAGCGAGAACTCACTCATTAATCCCTCTTCCCTGAGGAAGAGCATGAATCCATTCACGAGGGATCCACCCTCATGACTCAATCAGTTTCCAACGCTGCCACATTGGAGATCAAATTCCCACATGAGTTTTGGAGGGGACAACACATACAAACTCCATCACTGGTGGAAACAAAATATAATGACTTGCCATCGTGTATCTCTTCCCAGTTCCGTCTTTAGTGATATCACATTGGCTGCTTGAAATCAGCAACAGTGGGAGTATTTACACCATGGAGATTGGCAAGTACTACACATCAGGGCTTTCCCAACCCTCCCCAGGGCCAGCCATTAAACTTTTTTCAGTATGGTTCTGGTCATGAGTAGTTACAGATCCCAGGAAAAAGTCAAGAGAACAAGCAGCCTATTTGCCTCTACAAGAGCACAGTGAGTATCAAATACAGAATTGGTGTGAGAATACAAAGGAGAATTGGAAGGCCAGAAAAGGGGCCGTAACACAGGAGGATATCAAGCTCAACAAAAGGGAAAGAAAAGTCAAATGCTGTCCTAGCAGGGAGACTGTTTCCCATGAAACCT